CTCTGAAGAGAGCAAGGAAGGAAAAATAAGGAAAGAAGGGAAGAAAGGAGAAGGAAGAAGAAAGGAGAGCAAGGAAGGAAAAATAAGGAAAGAAGGGAAGAAAGGAGAAGGAAGAAGAAAGGAGAGCAAGGAAGGAAAAAGAAGGAAGGAAGGAAGGAAGGAAGGAAGGAAGGAAGGAGAGATAGGTTGGAAGGAAGAGAAGGAAGGAAAGAAGGAAGGAGAGATAGGGTGGAAGGAAGGGAAGAAGGAAGGAAGGAAGGAAGGAAGGAAGGAAGGAAGGAAGGAAGGAGAGATAGGTTGGAAGGAAGGAAAAGGAAGGGAGAAAGGAAAGAAAGAAGGAAGGAGAGATAGGTTGGAAGGAAGGAAAAGAAGGAAGAGAGGGAGGAAAGAAGGAAGGAAGAAGAGATAGGTTGGAAGGAAGGGAAGGAGGAAGGAAGGGAGGAAAGAAGGAAGGAAGGTGAGGTAGGTTGGAAGGAAGGGAAGGAGAAAGGAAGGAAGGAAGGAAGGAAGGAAGGAGAGATAGGTTGGAAGGAAGGAAAAGGAAGGGAGAAAGGAAAGAAAGAAGGAAGGAGAGATAGGTTGGAAGGAAGGAAAAGAAGGAAGAGAGGGAGGAAAGAAGGAAGGAAGAAGAGATAGGTTGGAAGGAAGGGAAGGAGGAAGGAAGGGAGGAAAGAAGGAAGGAAGGTGAGGTAGGTTGGAAGGAAGGGAAGGAGAAAGGAAGGAAGGAAGGAAGGAAGGAAGGAGAGATAGGTTGGAAGGAATGAGAAATAGGGTGGAAGGAAGGGAAGGAGGAAGGAAGGAAGGAGAGATAGATTCGAAGGAATGAGATAGGGTGGAAGGAAGGGAAGGTGGAAGGAAGGAAGGAAGGGACGGAAGGAGAGATAGGTTGGAAGGAAGGAAAAGAAGGGAGGGAGGAAAGGAGGAAGGAAGGAGGGAAGGGAGGGGGGGTCTGAGGGAAGTCTTGCCTTAGCACTTGACCACCACAGGTGTCCCCGACATGGGTGATATCGAACTCCCGGCCATGCCCCTCCCACCTCCCGAGGTCAAACACAACCCTGAGGCGGCCCTCAATGAAATCGCGCCCGAGACCCCTGCTCTGGGCTTGTAGGTGCAGAGCGGCGCGAAAGCTCTCCGTCTTTTTCCAAAGAAGGATTAGAGCCGGGCCTTCTGCACGCATCACCTTTGCCCAGGGAGACCCCGCAAGTACCTTCCACGATCTCATCCACGGGGCAGCTGGTGAACCGTAAGAGCAGCTCCTGCCATTGCCGGCAGATCTTGTACGGTTGGTGTTTGGGTTTCAGCTGAACCCCTGCAACACAGAAAGAGAGGAGGGGGCTTATAACCACGCCCTTCCATTGGCCCCCAAAACCAGTTTGCAGCACACAAGGAATCCTGGGGGACGATCATCGCTGAAACGTGAGCCAGCCGTGTGCGGCAGCAGCAGCCCCAAAAGCTCTTGCAATCCTTGGTTGTATAAACAGAGCCGAGGTGGCGCAGTGGTTAGGGTGCAGTACTGCAGCCACTTCAGCTGACTGCTATCTGCAGTTCGGCGGTTCAAATCTCACCGGCTCAAGGTTGACTCAGCCTTCCATCCTTCCGAGGTGGGTGAAATGAGGACCCAGACTGTGGGGGTGATATGCTGACTCTGTAAACCGCTTAGAGAGGGCTGAAAGCCCTATGAAGCGGTATATAAGTCTAACTGCTATTGCTATAAACAAAGGCACAGCATCAAGGTCACATGAAGTATGAGTAGTGCTTCATAAAGCCTTAGTAAGGCTTCCACATCTGGAATTCTGCATCCAATTTTGGTCATTGTTCTGACCCAGGCTTCCCCAAAAAGCAGGAGGCAGAGTCAAAACCCTTTTTATTAAAGGAATGGGAATTCCTCTCATTCCCATTCAGCCAAGGCCTGGCAACAGTCTTTCAAAGGCGTATTTATGACCACAGACCTTATCTAGCTTGGAAAGCTGTCATGTCAATATTTCCCAAATGAGGGGCTGTGCAAGAAAAGTCCAGGCACAGAGTCTCTGAGATTCACGGATGGATCTTCACACTCCTGAAACGAATTGTTTCCTGCAAACTCCACTCCCCTTTCCCTCCTCTTTTATTTCCTCTGGGAGGGGCCATTCATCGTCCACCTGTGGCTTTACTCCCAAGTCAACCCCTGTTCCTTAGCTGTTCCCTTTGTTTGTTCTTTTCTTCTGGCAGCTCTGCGCATGCGCACACTGGGAACAGGCTCCAGCTGTTCTTCTGCCTCACTGCTGTCTAACTCTCAAGGCAGCTGATCACTGTCAGACGGCCTCGACCCCCTCTCTGCCTCTGACACAGAGCCCTCATCCGAGCCTTCCCCAGACTCCAGGACTGGCCCAAGTTCCTCCCCAACCCTCCTCACTGTCCAAATCTGCTGCCAGCTCTGCTGCTCACTGGAGGGCCACAACAGTCACCACATTATTAAAAAAAAATTTGGAAAAAGCAACAGACTAATTATGCTCAATTTTATTTTGAGCATAGTGCAGAGAAGAGCAACAAAGAGGATTAGGGGACTGGAGGCTAAAACATACTAAGAACTGAAGGCTGCAGGATTTGGGTCTGGCTAGTCTAGAGAAAAGGAGGACTGGGGGGGTGGGCATGATAACACTATTCCAGTATTTGAGGGGCTGCCATAAAGAAGAGTTGGGGGGGTGGTTTCAACCTATTCTCCCAAGCACGAGAAGGCAAGGCAAGAAATTGGATGGAAACTAACCAAGGAGAGAAGCCACCAGGAATTAAGGAGAGACTTCCTAACAGTGAGGACAATTAACCAGTGCAGTGTTTCTCAACCTTGGTGACTTTAAGTCCTGTGGACTTCAACTCCCAGAATTCCCCCAGCCAGCTCTGCTGGCTG